AATAAAAAATAGATAAATGAATAAATAAATAAATAAATATATATGCTATCCCCCCTCCCAAAACCTATATGTCGAGTGTCTGATGTGACGATTGTGTGACAGATCTGGTGAAATTCATGGTCATTGCTGTTGAAGATTCCAATGGATTGCCAAAAGAAACATCGGTTCATGAGCAAGATTGAATATTTATAGTGGGTACGGGTGGCTTGGGACCAGTACTATACCCTTTGGACCCTGTGCACAGGCAGATGACGACATGGGACACGGGTAGGTTTTACAACATGCTAGTAGTCCTGAGTCATCAGACATCAGTATAAAGTTCTGCAAAAGATGGTGGTTAGTGGAAGCACAGAAGTACAGAATGTCGCAGCATCCAGACGAGTTTTCGATGCCGTCACCCCGGTTAGACATCAGATCTTGGCCATGTGCCAGGAGCACAGTGTGCCACAGGCAAGCCAGAGATCAGCATTTCTGTGCCAGTACTCATACTGAGCACTACGGATCTTTATCCGCATGAGAGGAGACCCCACTGTACAGTTTTGGTTCAACTTGATTCTGTCTTTCAAGTATCGCCAGGCCCGGTCGATGATCTGAGTCCCACCCTTGGTTTTGATTGGCAAACCAGATTTGGGATCTTTGTGGGTAATGAGCTTCACGTATGTCGGAGGCTTCCAAACCCATTTGCCCTTGACCTTGATCCTTTTTTTGCAATGGGCAATGCTTGACATGGTCGTGGAGAACACCAGGCAAGCGCAATCGGTAAGACTTCGCAGCATCGGTGTGCAGGACAACACAGCGGTCCTGGAGATGCTTTGTGGCCAGGGGCTTCCACTCGACCTTCCTAATGGCGCCTGGACCAGGAGATCTTGTAGCAAACATAGTAGGGGACAATCTCTTGAGGAGCAGTGTCTGTGGACAACCGCGCTGGATGATGCCACACCACTGCTCCCAAGCCACAGGCTTTGCAGGATCCTCGGCACAATCCTTGAAGTCTGTAGTTGTGAAAGTCGCCTCGTCTGCCTCGATGTCCATCCAAGTTTTGCCGTTGCCGAAGACAATGAGCTTCTCTTTCTCTTCCACCCATGCTTTTCGAAGTTGCATCATGCGCTTGTCCATGTCCTCAATGGCCTTGTGGTTGATGTGCAAGATGCGATGAATGGTAGCATTGGGAACTCGATTCAAGAGCAAGAACAAGAGAGCAGCTTGGGTTTGAAGAGATGTATGGCTTGAACCTCTTGCATCCACGAAGAGAGGACGTAGGTGATGTGGATTGATGTAGGCTTGACAGCCAAATCCATTGCACCTGTGCCTCGGCATCCCAGAGTCTCCAGTTTGAAGTTTGGAAAGCTTACCCTTCTGGCTCCTTACACACCTTCTGGTGTGGAGGGTGCAAGCAAATGCTGCAGCACCTCCGGCGGTGTCATTGGTGAAAATGTGACTGGCGCCGCTGCAACCATACCAGGCGGTGAAGCCGAGGTGTCCCCGGAGGCGTTCGTGGCGATCTCCATGGCGGTGTTCGCGGTGGTGTCTCCGGTGGTGTACCCGGTGGTGTGCCTGGCCAAGTGCTTGGAAGTCGACAGGGAAAGTCCACGCAGACCTGAGTATGGCAGTTTGATAGAAGATGCACAAAAGTGATGGCACATGAGGGAAAGGCAACGACAGGTGCATTGACAATGGCAAGAAAACCCATGCAGACCAGGAGCTCCCAGAAATTATCTTCATACCTTGGGTGATGCAGGGCCTGATGTCATATGTAAAAGTTTCAAAGCAGTGAATTGGCAGACTACCGGGTGACAACTTTCACCTGCCAAGGGACTGCCATGGATCAGCTTCCAACCTCAGCCGGTGAGTTGTCCAAAGGTGAGAATGTGTGGACTGCATTTTGGGAACCATGCAGTACAAAAGTGCGAAGTAGAAATGCGTATCTCAAGTGCAAGCTTTGCTGAGGAGACAAGGGGCCGCAATGATTCAGCATTGACCAGGGGAGAACGCATGATTGACAATGAATTTTGTTGTTTTGTTCTCAGAGACGGCAGATTATTATAACAAGAAACTTAAACTCTTGCAGCCAGGCTAGACCATATTCTACTTTTTTGGACAAGTCCTCCTACTCAAACCTAGACAGTGCGCATCACCAGAAGCTGTCTTAAACTCCCCATTCCTTTCTTGCATCCCCCCTGATTTCCACAGCATTGAGCTCTGCACAAGCCTCCAACGCTTCCAGCACGCGCTGGTGATCAATGGCCTCATGATCATCCTGAGCTCAGGGGATTTAACAACCACATGCATGCTTTGAGTTTGAATTCGAACTTCGAACGCACCACGTCCCAGTGTCCCAGGTCGAGACATGCTTGCTCGTCGTGTAGTACGAGTCTTGCCTTGGTGAAAGCGTGGTGAATCAGGTTAAACGATCACTTCGAACGACTTTGACTCCATTGGATACACAACTTTAGGGTCGCATGTTTTTTGCAAATTGCATTGGCAGGGCTGCGTCAAGTGGCGACAAGGTGCAAATTCTGTGGCAGGCGTGGCATTTTGTGACATGTGCTGAAAATTGACAGAAGCCTCGCAGGAAACATTGATTTTGCGGTTGTGAAATTTAGAGGTTCCGCCAAAAAGTCGAGGAAAATGTCGCTTGTGACGCTACAAAATGTGAAAATTGGAGGCCGTCTCGCGCGAAATGCTCGTTTTGGTGCTCCCGCTTGTCTTGTCTCGGGTCATTGGTTCTCTGGTAGCTTCGCTGTGTCTACGGGGGAAAGCTGCAAAACATGTCCTTTCGGCACGAAACTGCGCAAATTGGAGGAGATCTCGCACGAAATGCTCGTTTTGGTGCTCCCACGTGTCATGTTTCGCGTCTCTGGTTCCCTGTGGCTTCGCCGTGTCTATGGGGGAAGCCGCAAAACCTCTCCTTTTCGAAGGTTCCCATGCAGGTTGTCATGTCGTTTTGCGTGGCAGGCGTGGCACTTTGTAACATTCCAACCTGTTTGTGACATGTCGAACGTGTAAACATTGGAGGGAGTATCGTACGAAATGCATGTTTTTCTGCATCCATGTGTCTTGTCTCGAGTCTCTGGTTTTCCTGTCGCGTCGTCGTGTGTCTGTGGGAGAAGCAGGAAAACATATTCTAGACGAATATTGCGAGACTGCGATGATCAAACGACTTTGTGGATCACTTAGGACGACAGTGCGGAGTGTGTAGTTCAACCTTGCACCTTCACTCAATTGGATACACACCTTTAGGGTCGCATGTTTTTTGCAAATTGCATTGGCAGGGCTGCGTCAAGTGGCGACAAGGTGCAAATTCTGTGGCAGGCGTGGCATTTTGTGACATGTGCTGAAAATTGACAGAAGCCTCGCAGGAAACATTGATTTTGCGGTTGTGAAATTTAGAGGTTCCGCCAAAAAGTCGAGGAAAATGTCGCTTGTGACGCTACAAAATGTGAAAATTGGAGGCCGTCTCGCGCGAAATGCTCGTTTTGGTGCTCCACTTGTCTTGTCTCGGGTCATTGGTTCTCTGGTAGCTTCGCTGTGTCTACGGGGGAAAGCTGCAAAACATGTCCTTTCGGCACGAAACTGCGCAAATTGGAGGAGATCTCGCACGAAATGCTCGTTTTGGTGCTCCCACGTGTCATGTTTCGCGTCTCTGGTTTCCCTGTGGCTTCGCCGTGTCTATGGGGGAAGCCGCAAAACCTCTCCTTTTCGAAGGTTCCCATGCAGGTTGTCATGTCGTTTTGCGTGGCAGGCGTGGCACTTTGTAACATTCCAACCTGTTTGTGACATGTCGAACGTGTAAACATTGGAGGGAGTATCGTACGAAATGCATGTTTTTCTGTATCCCTGTCCCGTCGCCGTGTCTGTGGGGG